TCCTATGTGAGGAGAGGTTATATATTTGGATATCAGAATGGCGTTCTACTTTCTGCTAATGCATGTCCACCTTTCTTCCAGCAGAGAGGAACGGAAATGGAGAAACGGGGAGAAACTGAGATGGAGAGATCGGTGCCTGGCGGAAAGAGCCCCAACGCAGTCCAAGTGACGGCCATCCAAGAGTTTCTGAGGGGCTCAGATTCCCGTCAAATTAAGCAGGAGCCAGAGGAAGGCCCGCCACAGGGCTGGGATGTCCAGTGGCAAGACTTTCTCAAGTCCATGCAGCCGCCTCGTCCGGGATGGAAAAACCCACCTCTCCCCAGTCTTCTCCAGTCAAGGGATGGAGCCAAAGAACCTCAGGCCTCTTTCAAGGGAGCCGCCAATGCCAACCAGTGGCCTAGAAGAGAGCGGCTGGACCAAACCCTTGTTGAGGGTTGTGAAGAGCCCATTCCTTCGGTAAAAGTGAAGGAGGAGATTCTGGATGAAGACGGTGCGGTCAGCGTGGAAATGGACCGTCGGCGTTTCAGGCAGCTCTGCTACCAGGAGGCTGAGGGACCCCGAGAAGTTTTCCTCCAGCTTGAAGCCCTTTGCCATCGGTGGCTGCAGCCAGAGAGGCGCTCCAAGGAGGAGATCTTGGACCTGCTGATCCTGGAGCAGTTCCTGGTCATCCTGCCGGAGGAAATGCAAAGCTGGGTCAAGGATTGCGGGCCAGAGACCTGCGGCCAAGCGGTGGCCCTGGCGGAGGATTTCTTGCTGCGCCTGCAAGAGGCTGAAGGGTTGCAAGGAAAGGTAAAGCATGGTTGCTTCTCATCCTTTGAGGGAGGTTGCAGACTGCCGGAAATAGTGTAAATTGAGTCCACTTTTAAGGTTAGGGTTAGTGCTAGGGAATCATGGGAATTGTAGTTTTTTTAGCGTTCTCTGTCAGAGAGCTCTGGTGCCACAATAAAATACAGTTCCCATGATTCCCTAACCCTAACCCTAACCCTAAAAGTGGACTCAATTTGCACTATTTCTGGCAGTCTGCAACCCCCCTGAAAGAGAAGCAGTGTAGAAATGGAGGTGAGCAGAATGGCTGTGTAGAAAGGCAGGGGCTAAAGAAGACCACTGGCTCTATTTATTTGCAAAAATGGTGAGAACGGTGCAGCCAATAAAACCTATGCCAATAAAAGTGTTGGGAACGGTGCAGCCAATAAAACGTATGCTATGTGTCATTATCTGGCACCGAAAGAACTCTTGGAGAGGTCTGGATCTATACCCAGTTCCACCACAAAAGATCCACTCTTCCAGATTATGCCTTAATGTTATTTGCTAATCTGAAATGGCAGGGGGGAAATGGCCCCAATCCCCCGTGGAAGTATAGGTTGAGTCTCCCTTATCTGAATTGCTTGGGAACAGAAGTGTTTTGGATTTTGGATTTATTTCTTTCTTTTTGTATTTTGGAATATTTGCATATACATAATGAGATATCTTGGAGATGGGACCCACATCTAAACATGAAATTAATTTATGTTTCATATATGCCTTATACACACAGCTTGAAGGTAATGTTATACTTAATATACATAATATACCGTATTAAAAGATCCCTGTATTTACATATACATATATAATGACATACTTGCAGATGAGACCCAAATCTAAACACAAAGTCATATGTTTCATATACACCTTGTAGACATAGTCTGAAGGTAATTTTATACTTAATATACATAATATACTAAAAGATCCCTATATTTGCATATACAGTGCACCCGCACTGGGCTTGCCATACATGGATTTAAGCTTCTGTAGACGGCAAGCTCTGGATGTTGTAATGCTGCGCGTGGGAGCACGCCGCCATAGAAAACAACGGGACTTGAGATCCTGCGTTTTTTGGCATTCGCGGGCAAATCCAGAATGGATCCCCCGCGTATACCAAGGGCCCACTATACATACATAATGAGATACTTGCAGATGGAACCCAAATTTAAACACAAAAGTCATGTTTCATATACACCTTATACACATAGCCTGAAGGTACCTTATTTTCCTGCGTATAAGACTACTTTTAAACCTGCAAAATCTGTGGTTAAAGTGGGGGGGTCGTCTTATACGCCGGGTATAAGGATAAGGAGGATAGAGGTGCTAAAACTCTATATTTTGGCTGGAGAAATGGGGGGTCGTCTTATACACCGGGTCGTCTTATACGCCGGAAAATACGGTAATTTTACACATATTAATATTATACATACCGGTAATATATTAAAAGATCCAAATACTAGAGAATCCCCAAACGGACCATTTCCCTCCACTGATAATAGGACTGCAGCCATAAGCACTATGTGGCTAGCATCCTGCTAGTGATATATGCAGGGGTAGTCCATCTTACATCTGCATATTTATTTTCTTAATTGTTGCAGAGGTTCAATTCCAGCCTTTGCACCAACCATCCCCTCCTGGACTGACTATTTAGCAATTTTATACTTAATATAACTATACTTAATACAACTATTAAACTATTTAGCTGCTTCAGTGCCATCCACGTGGCTGTTGGAGAACAGCAGGGTGGGATTGGAGAAGCATCTGGCTATGTTCCTGTAGCCAGACACAGAATATTTACATCATCCACTGAGACCTCCAGAGGACTTTTTCCAATCCCCTCTGCTCTCTGCCAGCCACTGAGTGGTCTTGGAAGAGTGCTTCAACTGCTAAACAATTAATCCAGGAGTGGTTTGAGAGGAAAGCTATAGCATAGTTCCACCAGCAGAACTATTAGGCTATGCCATATTGGGTCTAGACCACTATATGCTCCTTCTGGATATTAACTCAGAATTTCTACTATTCAGTCTCTCAGGCTTGTCCTTATATTCTGCTTTCCATCCTTATTTCTCTGTCAGGTTTCATGGCCTATAGAAGATACGGCTGTGAATTCCCCCAAATCGGAGCAGGATCAATCCGAGGAAATGAACATCCACATGTCAGCAGAGGCTGAGGAAGAGAGTGACGGGGAGACCAGTTTTCTGGGTAAGGGACAGGTGGCTGGATTCATTTCTGGAAGGACTGGGGATGGTGAATAATCTTTTTTCTTTTTCTCCTGCTTGAAATTCTTGTCCTGAAGACGGGACTCCTGGAAGAACTGTAACTTGGGGACAGAGGAGAAACTTTGAATTCAGGAGGTCCCACGCCCAACTCCCAGTATCTTTAGGTAGGGCTGGGATAGCAAAAATAGGAAATTACAAGGTAAAAATCAACCAATTCTCATCTGAGTTGGAAATTTTCTAATAAAAGGGGTAATTTAATTAAATTCATTTTTAATATGTGGCTGCCTTTCCTAGAGAGGCTAGATTGGAACGCTTCTCCCAAAAGATAGACATCCAACTTCTGTTTAAAGATCTCCTGTTTGAAGAAGGAGAATCCACCACCCTCCAAGGCAGTCTTTTCCATTGTGGAATAGCTCTTACTGTCAGGAAATTCTTCCTAATGTTTAGGCAGCATCTCCTTTCTTGCAGTTTGAGTCCTAGAGTCCGCAACACCTGAAAACAAGATTGCTCCATCTTCAATATGGCATCACTTCAAATATTTATTTACCTTTAGTCTTTTAAAAGGATTCTTGTTGTTTCAAACTGATCAGGCTGATTTTATTGTATACCACCATGAGCTCCATGAATATAAAGCAGGATATAAATATTTTAGATATAAATATTTTGTTCGTTTGTTTGTGGGATTTGTTTCCCCCTCCCCCCATGGTAATGAACAATTAATAAAAACAGTTTTAAAACATTAAATAGATTATTTAATATATATATATATATAT